CCCCCCCCCACTTCTTTTTTTGCACCAGTCTTTTTTTAAATTATTAGCGATATGCTGCTTTTTGTAAAATATAATCAAGTTTTCTCTTGTGCTGGCTGTAAGAGTACAGTCTGTGTAAAGAGGGAAAGGGCAGCTGAAATGGGTAAATCAGTGGGGATGTGCTCTGTCTGTATTTTCGGTTAAAAAGTAGAAAACTTGTTTCACTATATTTTAAGTCATAGTGCAGCCAGACCCATTAACCCAGTAAAGACTGAACCTTGAAGTAGTTGCCAGAAAATTCAAAGTTTTTGAAACTGGAGTGTTTATGAAACTTCTGGTATAAGGGTTAGGGTTGTAATAAAGCTAAACTCGCATATGAGTTTTAATTTGTATCAATCATGAATTTATTTAAGTTTTTTGGGTGGAAAAAAATCGCACTGATGATGTCGAGGGTTAAAAGTTGTTCTAAAGCTGTGTTCAAGAAGAAGGCAAAGTGCCTCCCCTTTTAAGATCAAACTTTATTGATAATTTATTGATATTGATATTGCTTTGGGATCGTTTGTGTCCGAAACGGCAATCTTTCAGCACAGACTCTAATTGAGGATGCCAAGGCAAATTCACAGCTTTGTCGCCTCCAAAATGCACTTTGGCTTCTTTCTGAACACACAGACACACAAAAAAACCGAGTCCAAAATTCATCTTCGATGTGTTTTAAAGCATCAGAAAGGCCACAATCTGCTTACACGATATTAAACCTCAGAGAGGGAAAAAAACAAAACCCAAAGAACTTTATGAAATCTAGTTGTAAAAAAGAAAACCAAATAAAAAAGACAGAAATCAGAGACGTTGCAGTAAAATTGCAGTGTAAAATCTTACCTGGTGACACGGTGTTTTTGATATGTTAAAGATAATCCACGTATAGCCTGCTGCAGTTTGCTTGAAAACATTTCTGTTATTTATTTATTGAATCAAAGTTTCCTTTTTTTTCACGACTGGGTATTTGATTTTAGTTGAATTTCAAATGTATGACAACACTTTGTAACTGAGATCTTGTGTTTATGTAAAGAAAACATTATTTGCAGAACGAATCACAAGTTTTGAATAAATTATGATTTCTCATTTTTGTTTGATTTCTTTATTGTTTCGTTTTACATCTCATTATCTTTTCCAAGTCATCCACACCAACATGTTAGCCATTGTGTGTCATCTGTAAAGCTCGGTGAAGCCTTTTTTTGTTATTTCTCACCCCAAACCATCATGTTATATACATTTATTTTAAAGGGATTTTAGACTGAGCCACATGTTCTCATGTGAAATCTTATTTTTACTTGCAAGATCTGAAATATAACCTTGAGTTCTGTATCATTTAATGCTAAGCTATGCACTTATACTGTTAGCTTTTATCTTTGCTGTCAGCCCCATTTTATTCAGAGCGTGATGGTGAAATCCCAACACTGCAACCCGAGCTACATTATCATAACGAGCCAGTTAAAGAAAATATGTCCAGTGAGTTACGTCAGAGGTCGCACATGTCCGTCCTGTGACCGTGGCTTATGCAGTATGGCCTACAGAGAAACACAAATCTGGACATTGTGTGTATTTTTGTACAGACTTTCTGGGAGTGGGTTGCTCTCTATCTTTTGGATGCTTTCAGCATTGGTTTCATTCCCCAGGCTGTGATCTCTGATATTATAAATGACTAAAGCCCAGGGCAAATGTGTGGTAATTTGCTGTGAATTTCCCATTACAACCTGCATGCCGAAGTGTTAGGGAAACACCCTGGATTTGGTGTCACCTCTGTGGTGACAGGCTGTTTAGTGCTGAGACACTTCCTGACCTCGCTGTGAGCTCGTCCAGGCGCTGTGACAGATTTCAGATTGGCTTTATTTAACTGTGCACTTTAGAAAAAGGTTTGAGAAGCGGGATGAGCGGTATCCAATGAGAGGGCAACAGGATAATTGTGGCAGGGAAGAAGGGAGGCACTTGACACACATAGAGTCAGTACAGTTCACCATGTTCCACAGGAGCAATAAGGCCGTTCTAATCCCCTACCTTATTAAAGCTTTCTTGTTTGCATTCAATTTAGAAAAGAAGAAAACCGACTTTAAGTTGAGTACTTGAGTGCATGGTGAGACTTTATAGATAGCAGCTGATGTAACAGCGCTACAACTGTTACTTTACAGACTGGCAGCTCTATAGACGGTTTATAAGCATAAATTGTATTAAAATACTATAAATGTGTAAGTATAAAAACTCTAATGCTGCTGTATTTAACATTTTAACAAACTTTTAACAAAATCAGGTCTATGGCAAAAATGCTTTTAAAAATAAATCTAGTCAGACTTTATAATAATACCGGAGAATGAAACACATTTCGACTTTTACATTTAGGTATCGTGATCAGATGGCCACTTTAAATAGTCACCCTATTTTGGTGAAAGGCTTAAATGAAATAAGAAAAGTAACATTTCAAATCTTATATCAACTCTCTTTGACCTTGGATTTGACCTTCCTAATAGCAGGGACATGTTGAAATACTGCGACTCATGCAGCCTGCACCGGTGAAATGCGTAGAGTATAACCTTTGCCTTTCCTCTCCGCTGTTAAATAATTAAAGACGTTTGGTTGTGGAGACGTGTATAGACAGACGTGTAGCTGAGTGATGAAACCGGCACGTCTACATGTCATTTAATGTTTCCTATTAAGTCTTACCTATACAGAGCTTTTTCTGATTATTTTTAACTGTTAGATAACAAAGAATGGAGACATTTAAGACATAAGGTTATGAGTATGTATGAATAAAACTCATCTAAACAATGCAGTGAAGCGTAAAATGTTTTAAAACGAACGGAAATATCACGCAAACAGTAACCAATCAGCGACTTTAATTGTCATATGTGGATTCGGACCTTTTATCTCTGAAACAGGCAACTTGTGAACAGCTGATTAATGGCTGTAGTGGTTTCTGTGGCCCGTTGCGAGCCACGTGAACAATGAGATGCCGACTCTGCTGTTTATCTTTTTTTTCTCAACCTTTTTAGCTGTTTTCAAAAATAACGGTACATTACTGTAGAAAATGTGTTTCTGATGGCGCGGTGTGACAAAAGTCCGTCCATCTCATCTAACACCACACTGTGTAGTCTAGGCTCCTTGTTTGACAGAAACATTTTCTACTTCATGCAGGAGGAGAGGATTTCTAAGCCGAACATGACTCCTCTAATTTGCTGCCCGGTTGCGATCCGGGTTGTGTCACAGACAAAATACGAGACAGTGCTCCACTTTAAATTAGTCGCAGAAAAATCCTCCAGCTGTGAGGAAGAAGCTTTCAGGCACAGTCCAACAGTGACACGTATTTTTTCGTGTCACTGTTTTGTTCAAAAGAATTTTGCAATAGCATGTGTCTGAATATTTGATGTAAAACTGGGAATACTCGGGGCCCTATGCATCCAGTCCGGCTGCTTTATTCACATTCACATTGTTCCTCGGTGTATGACATGCTTTCGTGCAAGCTTTAAAATGCTGAAAATGAAACTCGGTCATGTGAAATGTGTGTGGCCCAATGTAAACACCTGCTATCGGAGCACTAAAACCAGAAGAGCTGAACTTGCTGAAAGCAACAGACACCCTGTAACAGTCAAGTTAAATGTTTTCCCTCTTTGTTCCTGCGCTCCGCTTCCATCCTTCATCACATCCCCGCGGAGAACAAAAGATATTTACACCTCAGTCGGTTCAGCAGGTAGATGTCAGGATTTTGTCTGGGCTGCCTGTCACGAAAAGGGGAAGCGCATCTCTAAACCAGCTCACGGCGACGGCGTTTCGGGCCTGCAGCCAGTAGCTGAAGAAATCGCATTGATCTCGGGAAGCGCGAGGTGTCTGCTTCAGGGAGTTTTTGTTTATGGAGGAACAATATTCTAATGAGGAGGTGTTGATTACAGAGGCGCCTGGGAGGTTTTGAGAGGCTTCAGCAACGCAAAGATGATGATGCTGACAGTTCTGTGCATGCAGTTTGTAATCGGGTTCATGGAGACAAAGACAAGACTAAATGCTACCGTGCAATGCTGAAACCGCCTGTTGCCCTCGGGATTGTTGAGCGTTGGCTGTAACACAGTACGGCCTTTTTTAATTTCAGTGGGAATGAGATCCAATGTGAGGGTTGTAAAATGAACAAGTTTGGAAAATGCATCTTTGGAATTCAGGGTGAAAGGCTAATGAGTATAAACTACCTATTTTAGATGTCTGGGTCACTCTTGCTGGGAGTGAATATCAGAGCTGTACAATGTTTGTATATGCTTTGCAAATAGACTATTTAGTTTTTATTTCATGTATAGAGTTAAATAATGTATATATAGATATATATAAGTTATTAATCCCAGAACGCTTGATTTTATCCCCCTCACAAACATTACTTCCAGGATGTTATTTAAGATGATCCACCTTTCCATCTGTTAGAGGGATTTGGGTGGTTGCCAGTTTGGTACCTGCTGCCGAAGGCTGCAAAATTAAACGCAGAAGCAGATCTCAAATGCTACGATCAGCTGTATGAAAATAACAGACTTGAGAGTTTCCATGAAGTGTGCACTTAAAACAGTTGATGGCTCATTTTGAGGTCTTAACTGCAGTATGAGCTGTGTTCTTTAACACATGGTTTAAATGTAAATATGTCACGTGGCAGCAGCTGATCCCTGACTGCCGTACCTGAGCGCGGTTTGTAAATGCAGCTTTGTGAGGAATCCTCCTGTTGTGTTGGATCTGCTGCTGAAAAACTGTCATCCTGTATACTTCACGCTCTCCTCACAGCTCCCGCAGCGAGCTGTGAGATTTTCTCAAATATGTGATCTGACTGGGCCAGTCTGACTCTGGGGAGGGAAAAAAACATTCAGCCGGGAATGTGTGGCACGCTTCGGCCCTTCATGTACTCTTAAAACAAGAGAAAGAGGAAGTGACTTGTTTATGACACGCAGATGATGTCTTTTCGTCTCTTCACAGGTGCTTCATGCTGCTGTACTGTAACATTTTTATTTATTTCTTTTTAAGCTTTGGGTCTCCCACAGCAGAGGCTTAGTTCATTAATGACCGTGTGTAAAAATCAGTGCCTGGGGATCACTGCAGCTCAGCTTTCACACATGTCCTTGTTTTTTGTGTCTTGTTATGGTTACAGTGCTTAAAATGAAGCCGTTATTTGGAGCTTCTATTGTTGTAAACACATTAATCAATAACATCTTGTTTACAAAGGGGATTGTGGCTGCTGTGAACTTTTATGATTATCTCTCATTTCCTAGAGAACAGAAATTATGGGGGTTTTTGGGTCTTTTTTTAGTCCTGAGGGCATATGAAAAAAATATTCATCACCATGTGCAGTTGTTCATCATTCTATTCGTAAAGCCGGAACGTAAACTTTAAAGTTTATGAGGGAGTGCAGTTTAAAAAATGCGGGTTCAATTAAAAAATTATGATATCTTGAATCAATTAAGGCAATAAGACACAAAGATTAGAACTGGGACACCAGAAACAAAGAAAATAAGCTGAGGCCACTTTACTTGTATAGCACGTTTTACACACAAAAGCAAAGTTATTCATGTAAAGGAAAAAAATAATAAAGGGGGGGGGGCACTATTCTAGAAATCACAATTAGTAAACATAAAAAAGCCACAGTTTTACGTCTGATTACTTCTCATCTGTTCTTGAGTTGACTGGCCTATTGGACCTTTTCTAAGTGGTGGAGTTTAATCTTGCATTGCACTGTTTACATATGTATCTCCTGGAAAACTGCATTTATTAAAACAATCAAACAATCTCCTTACAGTATAATGACTCTGACGTTTTGGATTGAAGTACATTGCCTGTTTATGCAACTTACTTCAACTGTAGGATTTACGCCCACCTGGTGAAATAAAGTAAGATGTATCTCTATTTTTAGCTCAGTGTTTGGTCTCCACCACCTCCTTAGGGGGAAAAAAGTGTCTTTACCAGCTGTTTCTATACATTTCCAGCTAGTCTCAAAGCAGTTATAAATCACTGTTTTATAAAGCGACAGCTTTAAACTTTGATTTTTTTTTAGTTTGGGCACAGAAAGAACTGGAGAGACTGCAGTTTGTGCTAAGTGTAGATGATAGCAAAGGTTTTGAAAGCTCATCTTTGGAGTTCGCCTTCAGTCAGCTATTATTTGACCGACTGTAGATTTTTTTTTCTTTTCTTTTAACCTCATGTTGCTTTGAAAACACTCAAAGTTAACATGTGAAGAGACTGCAGACAAAAAAACAACACCTCACAAACCACAGTGGTGCTAAATGTTAATGTAACACCTGGCAGGTGAGGTCTATGAAAACTTCCTGTTATGTCACACACTAAGAAAATCTGCTGTTACATGGTTACCTTTTAGTTCACAAATATGAACATAAAGATGCAAAGAAAAAAAGTACAAACCCTGATATACTCAGTTACTCTGATGACCTCTGAATTGCTTTTGTATCATTTTCAGAGTTCTGCATTATGCTTCAGCAAATTATTTGCTTTGGGTTTCATCATTTTCCTGTGGTTGTAGCTCAAAGCCATTCATTTAAAGATTCATGGTCACTGCTGTTATTCCATCAGTCACGACAGCTGAATGTTCAGTCTCTGTACAGAGGCTCCCGAACCGCTTTGGAAAGCTGGGAGAGGACATAAAGAGAAACAAGAACTCCCGCAGCTGCAAACAACCTGAAAGAAACGCTCACGTCACATTTTACACTGAGATGCTCATTTGTTGTGGAAGAAGTCGAAATACGCCGCAGTCAAAACATGAATGTTTATGGAATGAGAAACTGATCCCTGTTTAGGCTGAAAACTGTTTACTGCTGATAGCGAAACCGCACCGCTGCTTTGTAGTCTGACGTACTGCAAACTGCTCCTAAACGAAGCAGAGCTGACACATCTGCATTGTTCTGAAGGTGCTGTGATCACTTTGCTTGAAACTCACTGCAATAAATCTCTCATCACGTCTTCTGTCTGTGGTTCTGTCTTCTGTCTTACTGGATACAAACCATACTGATCAGAGCTCGTGACGTACAACTATTTCATGTTTAAAAGATTTATTTAGTCTTTTAATTGTATGCAAATGAAATCACCATTTTAAAGTTTTATTCATTTTTTTTTTTATTAATTCAAATCATGGACTTGATACCAGAAGAAAAAAACGCTTTTGTGCTAAATAGGTTTGGGGTGTCTTGCTCATTTCACAGGTTTTGCCACTCAGGTCTTTTGCAGTCTGGCCACCAGATGGCAGGGCGTGACAGTGTTTTGGTGGCCTGGATGAATAAATACCCCCACTGGAAACCCGTGACTGCTTGTGTTTTTGTGAGTCCTAAATGAGCAGAGTTGTGACTGAAAGCAAATAATTAAATAACGTAGGGTTAGGTGGGAGGGGTTTTACTGTCCCGGGGAAATCATTGTTGCCATGTAAGCTGCTGATCCCTTAAAAGAGCCAATGAGTCGACTTTTAAAGACTGTGATTGTGCAGCCTTTGTGGTTTCATTGCATTTTATTACAGGAAAAAAAACTATAAAAGTGTTTGTTACTAATGTCCTTAGTAGCACAGCGATTAGGCAAAATAGAAAATGGGTGTTGAAAGTGTTGAAACTGAAATGTTGTTTTCTGAAGATGGTTTTAGATCACCTGAGAGACTGCTTGCCCTTCGTTGTTGTTGTTTTTAAGATGATTGTTATCCAGCAAAATTTTAAAGCCTTTTGTTCAACTAACATTTGTTTTTGTCATCGTTTTCTTATGAATTGCTCAAAGAATAAGTAGTTGCATACATTCATGTCTATCAGAAGATTTAGATACAGATTTCTTTAATGACCAAACTACACTCAGTAGACACTTTTATAGTTACATCTACAGACACGGTCAAGATGACCTTCTAAAGTTAAAAGAGCATCAGATTTGCGAAGAAAGGTGATTTTAGTGTGGTTGTTGGTGCCAGATGGCCTGGGCTCAGTAAGTCAGACACTGGTGAAACTTACTGGGATTTCCCCACACCATCCATGGAGTTCTGGAAATCAGGCAGACAGGCAGTTCTCTGGGTGAATGGGAGCAGCGAGTCAAATAACCACTTGTCATACAGACAGGGATAGCTTAGTAGGTAGCGTGGTCGCCCCATGATCGGTTTGAATCCACTGAACGGCTACCCTGAGGTACCCCTGAGCAAGGTACCGTCCCTACACACTGCTCCCGGGCGCCTTATTAGTGGCTGCCCACTGCTTTACTGAGTGAATGGATGAAATGCAGACAGAGTAATTTCCCCACAGGAATCAATAAAGTATGCATTATGATTATTATTAAACCAGGGTATGCAGAAGAGTGTCTGTGATGATACAGTGTATCAGACATTTAAGCAGATTTGCTATAGCAGCACAAAATTGCACAATAGAAGACTGGAAAGATGTTCACTGGCCTGATGAGTCTCGATTTCTGCAGCAACATTCAGACGGTAGGATCAGAATTTGGCATAAACAACATGTAAGCATAGATCCATCGTGGTAAAAATACTCAGGCTGCTGCTGCTGGCAGTGCGATGGTGTGTGGGGCATTTACTTTGAGCATTTCGGGTTCCTTGCAACCAGCTGAACATTGTTCGAAAAGCTCATCCTCATGTTATGTCACAAAGCTGAAATAATCTCAAGCTGGTTTCTGGGTTCACTGGACTCAAATGGCCTCCACAGCCACCAACGACACTTAAGTTTGAAATGGCGACTCAAGTGAGGACAGTACCGTGGTTCGTATACCTTAGTCCCACCCAGCACTTTATGACCCAACATCAGTCCTGGACCTCACAGCTTTTTTGTGCCTGAAAGGGACAAAATCTCTGCAGCTATAATCTGGAAAAAAGTTCGAACCGACTGGAGTAAAGACTGATATGGCAGCAAATTAATGCCATGGTTTTCAGATGAAATGTTGAAACAGTTGCATGTGGGTGTAATTTAATGGTGTCCACCTACTTTTTAAAAATATACTGTACATGATTAGGTAGTCCTGTAAAAGCAGAAGGTTTTGTTGTTGCCAGCTCTCTAGAAATAATTACAGTACCCAAGTAAATTTGAGGTATATGTTAATTTTACAGCTCTGGGCTGCTCTGTTGAATGGCTCAGTTAAGTTTTATGTGTGTGTTTGAGGGCACGCTGCACTGAGCTCAGAAGGAGAGCTAGAGAGTCTCCAGGCCTGTCTCCCCTCCAGACCAAACACACATCCATCTCCAGTGACCTCTGCGATCTGGCATCGAGTTAACCTTCACTCTGGCGTCCATAAACAGCCTGGCTCATCACAGAAGGCCACCCAGCGTCTGTGGTCACTCACAGGAATCAGTATTAGTGGGAGATGATGAACACGTCTAAGCAACAAACCTCGCAGTCAGAGAACGTACATACAGACTTTTCTTTTTAATATGCAACAAAAAGTCTCACAGCAGTGCTGCTCCTGTTCTCTGCTTGAGCTACATGGACAGAAGGGAGTTTTATTAAAGTTTTGTGCTGCATTCAGACTGGGAAACCACCACGACTGTTTCAAGTTGCAAATCAGTTCTGTTATGTTTTTAAGACTTGCATCAATTTCCAATTTGCTAATGTTAGTTAATGCTTAAATTACATCATCAAATTAGAGAAGATGTGACAGCTAACTTAACAGTTGAACTTTTCCTGTTGATTAAGAATCCATGCAAACATGCATGTTATAATACATGCAAACTCCACAAGCTTCCACCTGATGGTGGAATTGAACTCAGGACCTTCTTGCTGTGCCAACCACCGTGCCAACCAAGGACATGAAGCGAATACACAGAAATACAGGTCCAGTTCAGTCAGTCAAGATAGCAGAGGTGAGACAAACAGACAGCTATTAGTACACCTAAATCAATTACAGAATGACATTTGGCAACTGCAAGTTATGAGTGAAATAACTGTTGGCAACACAAAGCAGGCGGGACACAAGATTCCCAGGTGAGCGACTGAAGCAACAACCAATGACAATGCAGGATACTGCCGCTTGATATATTACCTGGTAGTAAATATGTTACCTAGACAACCATAACTTTGAATATCCAGCCTGCAGCATCAAAGTGATGCGCAACAACCAAAGCTTCAGCAAAATTCAAACATGAATCCAAATATTTATTATGAAGGGGGAAACTAGCTTTAAAGACCAAAACAATCTGTAAGCATGTTCATATTGGAGTCATCTATGGGAATGTTGGAGGTAGGCTCAAGTGGCCGCTGGAGTAGCAATCTATGCATTTTAATCCCAGTCAACAATAGACTTCACCACATTTACTGCCGTGAACGCAAATCCTCTAAACGAAACACTCTGAACCTCCGGAGTAAAAATGGGCCACAGACTTTGATTTAAATGCAGATGACGTTTTCAGGTGACTGGAGGCCAAGTTCACAGTTTATTGCAGAGAGATGGAGGGAGGGGGGGACCAGCATTGTCTGGCAGGTGGTAAGGCTGCTGCAGGTTTGCAGCGTTAGCTTGTCTGGAAGGGAACCGTGCAAGGAGCAGCAATGAAACTATTTTCAAACAGGGGTTTCCTGGTTGCTGTGCAGCCGGCCGTTCCTCAGAGACTCATTAAGACTTCCAGTGGGTCTCGGTGTCTGGTGGCATCATTGGGTGGAATAGACGAACCACCAGAGAAACAAAGCAAACCCTCCACTACTGCTCCACCCGGCTGCTGCTCCTTTATTGTTTTTCTACTTTTGTGATAAGATGGATTGGGACTAAGAATAAAAATGTGTGTATTTATTCAAAGTGAGGTATATATGAGTGTGTGC